CTAATATGACTCCTTACCTGTGTTCGGTCGGATTCGGTCCGGGACGTCCTCCAACTGCTCTCTAGGCGTCTTTTCCGGCGTTTCATCTCTCTCAGCTCCTCAGTAAACCAAGGGGCTAATTGAGATCTACGCCGGGTCAGAGGCCGCAGCGGCACGACTCGGTCCAGTGCTGCGGCCGCGGCCTGATCTTCCGCCGAGTCGTGACCTAACGCCTCCGGATATGGCCCAAGCTCCGTCAGAAACCTCTCCGGGTCCATCAGGAGCCTGGGACGGAACCATCTAAGTGGTTCCGTCTCCCTGCGGCGAGGCTGTAATTGGCAGATGGCTGTAGATTTTGGCCCTTCTGCTACTTAGAAGTTGCCATGTTTCAAGTATTCAGTCTGCTTAAGGTACAGTCCCAATTATGTGTATGTTTTCCGTTATGAGTAGTTTGTTTTGATTTTAATTCATTTTTATTATTCTTGCTGTAATTTGGTTTTTATGTTTCTTGTTTTATTCTAAAATGTATAGTCTTATACATAATTATTTTAAGTAATATTCCTTTACATTCAAGTATATTTTTGTTAATATAGACAGTGAAGTTTCATTACTGTTATCATTTTTCTATTTGTATTAGAAAAAAAGCCCGTTTTGGATTTTAAGATTTCAAGCCAAAAAATAGCTTACAGTCAAGATGTAATATCTCCAGCTTTGGAAGAAGTATCACAAGTATCCATTCACGACAATTTAATGATATCACTAAATGAAAGTAATATAATGGGAATGGAAGAAAAAAAAACGCAACAAGAATCAGAGCCAGTCAGACAGCTTTTGGAAATCAAGAGGCTCTTGAAGACACCTAAGGAAAAGTCTGAACCTGTTGATGTGCTTTCAGGAGTCAAGAGGCTCTTGAAGACACCTAAGGAAAAATCTGAATCTGTTGAGGTGCTTTCAGGGATCAAGAGGCTTTTGAGGACGCCTAAGCAAAAGTCAGAGCCCGTTGAGGCGCTTTCAGCAGTCAAGAGGCTCTTGAAGACACCTAAGCAAAAGTCAGAGCCAGTCGAGGATCTTTCAGGACTCAAGAGGCTCTTGAAGACACCTAAGGAAAAATCTGAACCTGTCGAGGATCTTTCAGGACTCAAGAGGCTCTTTAAGACACCTAAGGAAAAATCTGAACCTGTTGAGGATCTTTCAGGACTCAAGAGGCTCTTTAAGAAACTTAAGGAAAAATCTGAACCTGTTGAGGATCTTTCAGGGGTTAAGAGGCTCTTGGACACACCTGAGCAAAAATCAGAACCCATGGAGGTGTTTTCAGGAATCAAGACGTTGAAGACACCCAGACAGACTATGGAGCCTCTTTCAGATGATATCTATACTAAATCTATGATATCTACTGAAGAAGTAAAAAACATGATTGGAAGTGTTATCAGAAATCAAACACAACAGAAAATACAACCTATGGAAGATACACATATTAATGACATTAATGAGAAAGTTCAGCAAACTGTGAAGCCAATAGAAGATAGAGAAAATATTCAAATGATGTCACCAAAGCTGGTTGGGTGTACTCAGACATTGAAAACATCAAAACCAAAATCTATGCCAACTGATGACTACTTGGGATTGCAGAATTTTATGATTGAACCTAAAGAGAGTTCTATAATTCCTGATGTAGATTATACAGGTGTCAAAGACATGAACACTGAAAATGATAAGGTATGCTTATTATATCAAATTTTGTACTCATTTTTATTTACGGTAAGTAGCCCATGCTTTAGTAACCTAGAAGAATTGACATAATCTATTTTTATTACATAATAACATTTTGAAATATTGAGATCAATTATTTTAATCCCAGGAAATTCAAATGACAACTAGATAGTTACTTTGGCCTTTGGATTTAGGGCTAAACATTGTGATCTTGTGGTAATTGGCTACTTTAATTTTTACACTAAAAAAAATTAAAATATTTTGGATTCTTAATTATAGCTTTTAGTATTGCAAAACACAGATTTTTAAAAAATATTCCTATGCATCTTACTGTTACTGCCAGCTGTAATACTTCATATTTGGACATATAGCCTATCTTGTGTTATTATATTTTAATAATATGAATTTGGGTAGCACCCATTCTCTCTTAATATAAAACGGGATTATGTAAAACATTTCATTGAGAAGCATAGCTTTTTGAAACACTATGCTTTACCTATGCATGCTGTTGTAAGCACAGTTACTTTAATTTGCTGGCAGTTACAGCATAAGTGTAGTCTGCATGCACTTAAGAAACAAATTTGGAAAAAGTGTTCAGCTGCACAGTTTCCTGAGCCCAGCCTTACAAAATACAAAGCTGCATCATTCAAGGAAGGGTACTGGAACATTTTTATAAGTGAGAAATATTTTGATGTCAGCTATTTTAATAACTGTAATATTTATAGGTTGAAATGCCAGAGTCTGTGAATCTTGTGGAAGAAAATGGATCTTATATCAGTTCCAGAAATAAAGTGGGTAAGTATAAAGTTTATTTCATTAAAAAACAGGATTTGTGTATTCTTTTGAATGTATGCTATAACATAGATAAATGAAGATGTGTTTCTGTTTTGTTCATGCAGAAAAGTTTTGTCTAGAATTTTACATATTTTAATTTTGATAAAATTGTTTCACTGCAGTGAAAATTCATGAGAACTGTTTTTTTAAAAATTAGCAAGAGTTCTGTAAATTTAAAATTAATACAAATTTTAGAATATAAATATTAGGACAGTATTCTAAAAAGAAGTTTGTATGTCATTACTGAGATACTTACATAAATGTTTGTCCAAAGTAAAAAGAAAGTTACCCCGAACATCAGTTCAAAACTTCATTTTTCTTAATGACTGTGATCTTAAAAATATATTTGAACATGTTTTATTTCAGAGTCCGTAGAAAATGTGCCTGGAAGTTGCAAAGGAAACCTGGAAATTGCATTTGAAAAAGAATCTCAATTTCCAGGAACAAAAAATAACAGTAGTGTTCCAAACTATGTAGGCCATGTTACATGTAATTCATTTAATGAATTGAAAACAGAGTTCAATAAGGAAACAACCAGAGCAATATCTCTCTCTGAAAACTACCAACCAGATGGAATCAGTTCCAAAAATGAAGCCAAAACTGATTTTGTAAATGAAGCAGCTGAAAATTCTGATGCATTAAAAACAGAAAAGCTTAAGCCACTTGCTTTGGCTAGAACTAGGAGAAGGAAAATAAATGACTGCAGTTTTGTGGTATATACAGAGACGATTCAGAGACCTACAAAGAACAGATCAAGATCAGCTAATTGTGAGCAAATCAGTGAAAGTTTTGACAACCATACAGAATTAAATTCATTGCACAAATCTGAAAGCAATTGTACAACAATTGAAGCAACCAAATTATCTCGGAGAGGAAGACCAAAGAAGAAGCATGTTGAAACAAATCGAAATATTGAATCTGATAACATAAACCATACTCAGGAATTAGAAAAACCTTTAAAGGAAACAACAGTAGAAAAACAGCCGGTGAACAGGCGAAAAGCGGCAACTAAAAGAAAAGGAAAAACTGTAACAAATGTGGATTTGGAAGAAAATAGACCAGTTCAAGAAAATGAAAGTGATTTAACTGCCAAAACACGGCTAAGGTCTAGAAATGTAAAAAAGAGTGCAAGTGACCTAAAGACAGCGTTTGCCAAAGGTAAAACAAGTGATACAATGTCAGGGGAAGAGAGTAATAAAAGAAATAAAAGAAGAAAGATTGCTGCAATACAATCAAGTCCAGAAACATTAATCACAACTCTGAATGAAGATAAGCAAGGAGGGCAAAAATGTACAATATCTAAAATATGTCAAACCGAAGCTTCAGAAAATAATCTAACAGCAATGGAAGAAAATTTAGTGAAGAAGAAGAAAAAAACAGTTCAATTTTTACTTAATAATGACTTTAAGGCTTCTGAAGAAAAATGTGCACTTGGATATGAGGGTAATACTTACGAAGAAAAAAGTCAAACTGAAAACATTTCTAATGGGATTCCAAAGGTTCCCTTGGAAAGCATGCAAACTTCTGCAGAGCCCAGTCTGCCCAGAATAGAAAAGCTATCAAAAAAGAATCTGCCTAGCAGAGGCAGAGGCAAAAAATCAGTTTCCAGCCCTTCTGTGGAAAGTGACAGTAAATCAGTCTCTGATGTGAAAGATCATGATATGATTGTTAATCTAAAAGAAAATCAGCCCAAAAGGGGCAGAGGGAGAAAGATAGTTCAAGTGTTCCCCAAACCTATTCCTTTAGAAAATAACACTTTTGGAGAAAAGGATTCAACAATAAACAAATGCCCTTCATCCCAAGGCGGATGTTCTTTGCCACAAGTTCAAAATGAGAATTTTGAAAAATCTGAAATATTGCCATTAGAAAATGGGCAACGTTGTGAAGGGCACATTCCACCAAAAAGGGTGGTAAAAGAAAATCCACCCAGGAGAGGAAAAAGCAAGCAAGTCAATGAAACATCCGGTAATGAAGCAGCTGATGTCCAAGGCCCAAATGTGGCTATCAGACAAGAGGATAATTGGTCCAAAAGGGCAAGAGGGAAAAGAAATGCTCAAGAATCCTGTTCACTGAAGAGCCAAAGGATAGTGAAAGAGAGTCCACCCAGGCGGGGCAAACATAAAAAAACTATTTCTGGTGACATATCTACAGATTTTGACAGTACACAGATAGCCACTATACTAGATCAAAATATAGATGGTAAAAATGCTTGTCTTGCAAAGGATGATCAATCAAAAGTAGTTGGAAGAGCAAGAAGCACTGTTGTATCTCAGAAAATCCCTTCTGTCAAAAATGATACCTGCCATTTGCTGTCATCAAACAAAGGGGAACATTCAGATGAACATCCAAATGAAGATTTGAAATCAGCAAGTAATGCAAATGAGAATTTCACATACAAATGTAGAAAAAGAAAAATAGTTCATGAAATTTCAGCAAACTCAGTTTCTTCCAGTAAACAATCTGAATTTATTGATAATGACATTCAAGAAAATGGAAAGAAAGATTCAAAAGCCGTATCAAAACAAAGTACATCCAGAAGTAAAAGAAAACGATTAACACCTTGTGAAACATCAGCAAGTAATGATGAGCTAAGAATTAATAGTAAAAAGAGTCAACCAGTAACAGATATTGTGGGTCCTTTAGAAAATAGTTTTGAAAAAAAGCACCAGTCAAAGAAGCAAAAAGAAGAAACTAATATTGTATCACTAGTTTCTCCCTCCCTGAAAGTGAGCATTACTTTGTCACCATCATCTTCTGCTACTGAAAATCAAAGTGGAAACTGCAAAAATTCTGTTGGAACAAGGAAGTTAGCAAAACTTTCTGGTACATACAATATAATGACACGCTCTCTCAAAGGAAAGTGCATTATTTCAAAAGAAGAGTTTGTTCATGAAACCCAAAACAAAGATTTGAAGAAAACAGTTATGGCAACTGTGATCAATCGAAGAAGAGGTAGAAGAAAAATTAATAAACTTGAGGCTGCTGTTTCTCCTCTCAAAGAAAAACTTACATTATCTGCAGGCAGTGATAATTCTCCTAATGAACAAATTCTAAATAATGTTTCTAATAATAAAATTTCTTCGAAGGGCAAGGGACCAAAATTTCTTGAAATAAAAAACATGACCCAAAACATCAATCAAAGTAATTCGTCTAATTATGACCAAAATAAAAATCTTACGCACCCAAATATGCCAGTGCAAAAGAGTTCATCAGAACGTGGAAAAAGAAAAATTAACAATTCAGAAACAATTACCACTGCTAACATGGTGAACAATGTAATTCCAGGAAACAAATCAACAGTCTCTAAAACAGGTATGTTATCTTTTATCTTAGACTAGTAAGTTTTCTTCTTACTCTTTAGAATTAAAGAGATAATCCAGTAAAGCACAGGTTTCCTCCTGATCTTGTCTTTCTGCTCCCAAATTGTATTTGAATGGGATTTTCAGTTTTGGCATTTTATTCTGGAATCTTAATATCACTAGAGCATAATGGTTCAAGAAGGGCACACTCCAAAAGGTCCACAAATGAGCCCAAACCAATACACAGGTTTTGCATTTTAAAATCCACTCTGGAACCTTAATATCAGAAGAATATGCACAGAGTGCAATTGAGAACTCAAGAAGTCAGTCCAGATCAATACATAGTCCACTTAAAAGAGGATTTTTTTTTCCTTTCTTGGTTATGGATTGGACATGCAGCTTAGAACTCCCATTTCCCCATAGATGCAGGAACTTTCTTTCGGAAAATTCTGAAGGAGTCTTGATAATAGGTCTTTAGTTACATGTGTGCTGTATATCTTTTTCAATTCTTAATTCTATTGACTATTGGAAGGATTTATTTTTGCTCATAGTAATAGACTAAATTGTCCTGCCCAGAAATGCAGTATTTTGTTAACACTCCCAAATAATGCTCTTTTTTAGTGTGATAATTTGTAGATGTGTTATGATTACAGTTTTCAAACTTCTTGGTACTATAGCGACAATATATCTAAAAGGCATCAGATTGATTAATACTATCAGAGTTTGAATGAGAGAATATAAAATTAATTAGGCACTTCTGTTCTGTACATTTTGGGACTTATATTTCCTGGGGCTTTAGAGAAGCAATAGCATGCATCCCTCTTCAGAATGTTTTAAAAGTGTGCTGAAGGTTTTCTTGAATTTAATTGATTTTAATCCTATTGGATTATTTCAAAGTTCCGTGTGTGTGCGCGTTTGTGTTTACTCCAAATAATTTACTACTCTAGGAAGAATTCTTCTAAATATTGGTATCATATTTTTTCCATAGAAAACACTGAAAGTATAACAGTGCAAACAAGAGGAAAAAAGAAAACGAAAGAAGAGAATACCATTCTGATGACTGAACTGCCTAGAGAAACAGAAGGCAGGACAAGAGCAAGCAAAAGAATAAGAAAATAGATTATAATATTTGCTCTGGGTGCATTTTTTAATCTGAAAAAATGTGACCGTAAAACTTTTGAAATTGAAATGCTTCAACATTCACTTCAACTTGACATTGACAATATCTGATGCAAATATTTTGTAAATAGCTTTTCCAATTATTTTTAATATTTTTTTGTTTAAAATATCAAAGGATTAGGAATTTAACTTTTAACTACTCTGATTTGTATTGTCTACAAATGTTTTAATGCTAATGCTACTGTACTTATGTGTTTCAAAATTAAAAACATACTTAAGCAGCATTGCTTTATATGATGATCCAATTGAAGTCAAGGTGTTTGCCAAACTAGCATAGGTTGGGCACAGTTCTTGGAATCATGCTCATGTTAGCTCTTCTACACTGCACAACTACTGTAATGATTCCAGGGTGAAAAACATCAGCTATTCAGAACATAGAAATCTGAATTTGTAAACGCCCAGTGTTTTGTCTGTTTAGCACTATCCCTAATCTTGCTGTTTTGAACAAGAAGACAAGTCTGGAAGATGTTTGATTAGCAGTCCTATTGAAGGGTATGTACCCAGTCTGGGGGAAAAATGGTTTGTAAGTTTGGATAAACTGCTTAGGTTTACTTTGACACAGGTTATCATACTGTCAAAGCAAAATGCAGGTAAGTTAGATAGTCCCAAGTTTTTGCCGACCCAGATTCTTGAAAATTGGGGGCAAGTAACCGTATACAATTCTTTTCACTTCCCACATGTAGTTTTGTGTGCCAACCTTCAAATTTTCCCAGGACCTTACTGCCCCATAGCCTTTAAATTCAAGTGTGGTATGCTTATCCATCTACCCTAACTTTTTACTATGCACTAGCTTTTTTGAAAGAAAAGTTTATAGAAATTTCAACAGTTGGATTGCCTTCACTTAAAACTCATTTTGCAAATTGTTGAAGTTTTTACAGCCTTTTACTCAAGGTTCTTGAAGTGGCAAAAGACTGTTCTCTTAATTGGTTAGTAAGAAATATTAACTAATTTGCAAATATTTCAGGCTCTGAACATACTGTTATATCATGAGTATTGGTACTGCCTGATGATGCCTGAATTCTGCTTAGAACATTCCAGGAATAAAACTTGTTGCATTCTTTGCCCTATTTTTGCATATCCAGAATCGTAGCTCATTCCATTGCCTTACCTCTTTTTAATTACACTTTTTAAATATAAATATATTTTTTCTTCCAATTATTAATATAAAGTGGCTAGTGAAAAAGTGATATATAGTGATGTCTAAAAAATGTAATGTTCAAATTTTGTATCTGTATCTGGTGGATTTGTTCTAATTTTGTTCATTTTGTTTCATTTTATCCAACCCTTTTTAATCTGACATTTAAATTCTACATATCACATTTAATTGATTTCTCATTTACCAAACATCTTTAGTGGGAAGCACTTGGCAGTTTTAAGCTCACAATCTAACATTTACCCATCAGCAGCTTTACTTGCTAAGATGGTCATCCATAAATTCAGGAGGTTATTCACTTGTGTCCCTTTTAAAAACAACTATATTGTCATTAATTTCTGATGAAATAATTTGTACTTTGTTCCCATGTGAAGGTTCTACACAATTTACAATCAGGAACTATATCATTTCTTGGTTTATTTAATTTTCTTTGAAATGCAAGCTGTTTCTGAGTATGGCCTAATAAAATTATTAAATTAAACATTGCATTATTAAGTGTAGGATATTCTAATGAAGGATGACATGCCTTGTGTAACTTAATGCTAATGTATCCTAAAGGAGAGGGGGGGGGGAATCTCCCATGCATGCTTTCTTAACTATACTTTGTCATTTGGTACACCTGAACTAAACTGGCAGGTTCAGTTTTCTTTACATGATTGCAGAGTAACTAATTGTGTCTTTGCATTTTGTGCTAGGTCAAATAATCCTTCAAAAGTCATTTTTGTAATATCAGATCTGCATAGGTCAGCCTGATATTTTGCCAAGCATTTAATAAGTTGGCTAGAACTATAGTCCATCTGAGTAATTTTAAGATAGAAATTCTTCAAGGTTTTATATGACACTTAACTTCAATGTTCTACAAGACAATAATTCTTTTTTTCCCCTGAAGTGGCATTCCATTAAACATAACTAAGAAAAGTTCTTTGGCTGCATTACCCATGCATATAAATATCAAAACTGTTAAAAGCTTTTCCCAGGACTCAGTAGCATTACTGGACATCTGCAGTTAATTAATCTGTTGATATTTCCATTCATTTTTGCATCCCATTCCTATTTCCACATGTACAGTATTGATAAAAGGAAGCCCCAGGCTAAGAATTGTTGATTTAACTACTATCTCCACTTAATAGCCATACACATACAGGTAGTCCTCAACTTATGACCAAAAGTAGGCCCAAATTTTTTGTTGCTAAGTTAAGCAAGACAGTTAAGTGAGTTTTCTCCCATTTTACTACACTGCCACTATTCTTAAGCAAACTACTGCAGTTAAAGTTAGTAATAGTTAAGTGGATCTAGCTTTCCCACTGACTTGTCAGAACTTCTCAAAAGATGATCACATGACCCTAGGACACTGCAACTAACGAGTCAATTGCCAAGTGTCAATTCTGATCACATGATCATGGGGATGCTGCAATGATTGTAAGTGAAAAACGGGTCTTCAGTTGCTATTTTCAATGCCACTGTAACTTTGGTCACTAGACTAACACTGCCTATAACTGAACAGTTTATGGACAGCTAGCTTCTAGTAAGTGTCAAAGTAAGTGTTAGCTAATTGCTGATCTTAACAATGGCAACATCAAGCAAAAACAGACAAACTGATTAACTGCAATTAATGCAAATTCATGACTTATAAAAGCTCTCAATAGCAGGTTAATAGCCTATGCCCTCACTACCATTTTGTCTGAAAGAAGAATGAAAGGATGGACTACGCTTATTTTTTCTTTTTAAAAAAGCCTTTAGCTAAGGAAAATCTAGCTAGCTAACCAATGAATGGTGTTGACTGCATCTGAGGAGAATGGCTGAGATACCAAGTTTTTTGCTTATGCTGTTATTTGATTTTTAGGATCGCTGTAAACTGTCTTAAGTTCTCTCTCTGAAGATAGAAGGCCATATATATATTTTAAATAAAAAGTAATTTTAACCAAACTACTGAATTCTGAACCAGCAACTTCTATAAACTTTAGACCAAATTTGTTCAGTCCAGGCCTGCAGGCCACATGCGGCCCTGGACAGTTGCCACAAGATCATAAACTTAACATGATTTTTAGCAATATATACATATATTTTGTATGTGGCTGAAGACAACTCTTCACTCAGTGCAGCTCAGACAAGCCAAAAGGTTGGACACCTGTGCCTGTGTCTTAGACAAAACTCTTGTACCTCTGCTTATTTTTCATACCAATAGCAAACTGTTCTCTCAAAATTGTGTTTCTCAATCTCAGCATGGCTGGCTGTGGAATTCTGGGAGTTGAATTCCACACATCTTCAAGTTGCTGAGGCTAAGAAACACTTTCTAAGAAGATCTTAGATCAGATCAACCACTGCCTCAATGTATTTAAAAAAGTTAAATTAGGGCAACCAGACCAAAGTATATTAAACTGAAATGTTTCGCTTCCCATCCAGGAAGCTTCATCAATCAAAATAGGAAAAAAATAGAGAGTTGTTGGAATGTACCAACTTGCCTCACCAATTGCAGAGTGTTATCCCCCAAACTTTTCTTATTTTGATTGATGAAGTTTCTGGATGGGAAGCGAAACATTTCAGATTAATATACTTGGTCCAACTGCCCTGATTTAACTTTTTAAAATACTTTTGGCCTGGATGATTGAGTCTTCGTTGACACATTGCTTCAATGGAGTTAGTGATCCTGCCTTTGGGAAGTAGCCAGTGAATGGCTGGAGTTAGCCTGCAAGGAATTAGAGTGCTCCAGCCCACATGGACAAGAACACTTGAAAAGGAAAGGACCATTTTAAAACAGCAGGGAAATGAAATTGGTTGAACTGGCAATTCAAAAGAGGTAAGGAAGAGTTGGTCTCATCTAAGGTGTCAAAAACTGACTTCTTCACAGGTTTTCTTTGGGAAGAAGAAACCCATCTTGGGTGTTTTGTTTTATAATAGCATCTCTAGTTTACTGTCATTCTATCATAAAACTATTCTTTATCAGATAAAATTGCCTCTGGAGAGGGTGCAGAAGAACTAGAAATTCAGTTTTATAGGGTGTAAAAAAAGTCAAGATGGCTGTGTGAATGAACCAGTATGTCTTTGCTATCTTGGTTGTGTGATTGTGGCTACTCTTGTGATATTTTTGACCAACTGTTATGTATTATTCAGGTGATCTTAATCTGTTCATCATATTTATGTACCTTTTAAAAAAGGCACAACATCAGCACTAGTCCTGGAGTTCAGGGGTCTTCAAACTTGGCCTTTTTATGACTTGTGGATTTCAATTCCCAGAATTCCTCAGCCAGCATGCCTGGCTGAGGAATTCTGGGAGTTGAAGTCCACAAGTCATAAAAGGGCCAAGTTTGAAGACCCCTGGTCTAGTTGGTGCCTTAGTGACGATCATGCCCCATATGACTTAAAATGTTGAAAAGGTGTTCAATTTGAAGAACATTTATTTCAAAAACAACACTGCAAAGGAAATGCCAGTTTTCAAATTATTTCTAACAACGCCTTTTGAACTCATGTACTTCATAAAGAATTCTTCAATAATTAAAAAATGGCAAAATGTATGGTAATACCATAAGAGTTTTGCCAGGAAGTATATTCCGAAGAAAAATTGAGGCAGGGAACATTCTGGGATATAGGTAAGGCATATTCTCATCCGTTTGTCTTCTCATAAGATGGCAAACCTTTTGTCTCTTCATATCAAAAACTTGGAAAATGCATGTTGAGAGAGAGAGAGAGAGAGCCAAACAACAGAGAAATAATTTTCTAATCTCACACATACACACACACCGCCCCAGGCCACCCTAATCTGCAGCACTTGGAGACAGGTCTTAGCATCATGGCTGCCATCAAAAATGCCACCTCAGGCTGTTCCCCAAGAGGTGCAAACTTTGGGAAACTGATTGCTCCATTGCCTAGCTCCCCCCAGAAAATTGCAGCGCTTGCTTTCAAGAATAGTTGTTGGATGTTGATGAACACTGGAATGTCACCTTTGATACACATGTCATAGGTTTGTCATCACTGGACCAGACACATGCTCAACATTTGTAGGACACCTGCCAGTCATATTGGGAAATACAAGTATAAATCCATTTTAAATTTCTTTCTGGTCAACCAACCTCCTCTTTTTGTTCTTAAAATTGTGCTGTTTATGTTACTGATACTCAAGTTACGATACGCTATGGATGTGACTCTTTTTAATTGACATTGAGAAACAATTTGTGGCTGGCTATTTTGCCTGTACTTTAATATCAGTGTAGAGAAAGGTGTTTTCTAAAACAATATCCAGCCCTAAAATAGCACTCTAAAGCAATGTTTCTCAACCTTTGAAAGTTTAAGATGTCTGGATTTCAACTCCCAAAATTCCTCAGCCAACAAGCTCTAAAGGAACTATCAAGTCCTTTTTTTAGGACATTAATGATTTCCCCTCCCTAACTATTGTATTGTAGTCATTAATAACCAAAAGTATAATAATAGAAGGTGAAGAATGATTAAAAGTTCTTGCTCCTAGAGATATTTTTCTGGGTTTGATAGTAATTTATGTTGATATCTTAGTATATAAGTGTAATGTAGATTTTATTTTAGACTTTTTATGTATCATTCCTCCACGCAGTTTGGAGCACTGCAATTATTTAATTGAAATATTTCAGCAATCCATTCTTTCAGTCTCAATATACTTTGAAAGCTTCCTATAAACTGATGCTGCCCACAGTAAATCACCTATAATTTTAATATTGTTTTGCATGATCAACGTAAAAGCAGAAAGTCAGAAAAAGCTGCTGATTGTCCCATTTAGAGAATTTTCCTTTTATTTATGTTAATAGGAAAGTATTAAAAGACAAGGTATTTTATTAAAGCAAAACAGATTTTGTAAACAAGATTTTAGAATTAGGTATTGTTTCTTCTGCATAATATGTAATGCTACATAAGTGTTATTTTTCACATCTCTTTATTTAAAATACTTATTTTGGATTCAGCTAAAAGGCATACAAAAAAGCAAAGGGTAAAAAAGACAACACTGCTTATGTTGGTATATAGATTGAGTGTTTTTTTCATATTCAACATTGGTTTGTAACTGATTGTTGTGTTTTCTCTCTGCTTTATGCTGAGAGTTACAGCTAATTTTTATTGTGGATGACACAAGGAACTGAAAAAGCTGTTAAACTACATTCACAGCCCAGGTGTATGTTGCTAACTCAACCAAAATTATTAAGCTAAATATAGTTTTTAAACAATGATTAAGTGAATCAGATGCAAATTAAACAAAATTAACCTATAAATATATGCGTTTTTCAAATTAGTAATTGGATTTTTTGATGATCTTTGGCTTGACATTGATAAGCTGCTTCTCATAACAGTCTAATTAGACAATATGTACACTTTGGCATTCGGTTCTGTCCTAGTGGCTTTTTCAAATGATGTTTGTAAAATTTGCAATTTCATATTACAGATTAAAAATTAAAAACTGCAGGAGGCTAACATTAAAATGAGAATTCATTTCAGGGAAAGCCC